AGAGCAGTTAGTCAAGAAAAATATATAAAAAGCATGTAGATTAGAAAGAAGGGAGTAAAACTATGTCTATTTGCTGATAACATGATCTTGTAAAGAGAAAACCCTGAGGAATCCACACTCATACAAAAAGCTTTCTTTAGAGCTAATAAATGAGTTCAGCAAGATTCCAGAAAACAAGATTAATATACAAAAATCAATTTTATTTTTACATACTAGCAGGGAATAATTGCAAATTGATGTTTTAAAAAATGACAGTAATTTTAGTAGCATGAAAAATATAAATTAATTAGGGATACATCTGATAAAAGAAGACCTATCTGCTGAAAACTACCAAATATTGATGAAAGAAATTGAATAAGACTGAAATAAGTAGAGAAATATACTTTATTTATGAGTGAGAAGACTTAATTTGTCAAAGTAATTATTCTCCAAAAATTGGATCTATGGATTCAATTCAATACTAATCATGATCCCACTCAACTTTTTTGCAGAAATTGGCAGTCTGTTTCTCAAATTCACATAGGCATGCAAAGGACCTAGAAAAGCCAAAACAACCTTGAAAAGAACAACAAATTTGGAAGGCCACACTGATTTCAAGACATATTATAAAGCTAGAGTAAACCAAGTTAGTGTAATACTGGTATAAAGGTAAGCAACTAGATCAGTGGATACTTTTTTCTGAAAACAGAAAAGTGTCCACTAAGTTTGCTGCCAGGTGGAGTCATCGTTGATCTTTTTCTGATAATATTTGATGGAATGAAGGTAAGAAACCATATTTTAGTAGACTGAGAAGTTAATGAAGGACTCCTGGATAGGATGGGAGAGTGGGTTCATGTGGAAATCCCCTATTCTCTCTGTTTTGAACACAGGATGGGTTTTTAAACTTTTAAGAAGTGAACTTTATGGATCTAAACAAAATGGAACTCACAATAGTAAGTGGGCTTAAAGCATTGGCTTACTGGAATGAAAAGCAGGCAGTGTTGGCTGACTTTCAACTCCTGCAGGAGAAAATAGATAGGAAGTCCCTGGTGAATGAGTATCAGGGGATCAGAGCTAGGTGCAATGATTCGAACAGCAACAGTCTCTTCTTTGAGAATGGTTAGCGCTGGGACATGGGAGAGAATAGAGAGTGCCACTTGGGCATGGAGCTGAGTTTGGCTCTGGCCTGAGGACAAGATCTACACCATCCCTGTAGGACAGGAGTTCAAACCATCCTTTTACACCTGGTTCTGAGGAGGGAGATCCCAGAATACCATGCAGAACTACAGACTGAGGAAACAATAGCAATAAGATAGTCATGCTTAAGACAAGTGTGCACACTGAAGTTTCAAAGCACAAGAGGAACACTAACACATAAAATAGCCAATAAACTGAAGAAATGGGAGAGAAATAAGAAAGAAATCTGAAAAGGTCTTTGATATCAGTATATTTATGATCCTCTAAAAGAAAAAAGAAAGACTAACATCTAACCATACCACCCCCAAAAAGAAAAAAAAAAACAGGGTGTATGAAGGAGTAAAATTAGATGGATAGCTATGAATCAGAAACTGATGAATATGAAAAAGAACTGACTTGAAATTTTAGAAAAAGAAAAATATTTTTTTAAATACAAATTCCTTAGGTGACATAAACTCTAGACTGGACACAGTCAAAGATGGAAATTAGTGACATTAGAACACAGAACAGAGATGAAAACTTCCATGACAGCAAATACAAATCACACAAAAAAGTGAGTAAAAAGTAAGAAAGAACAAGTTTAGACACAGTTGAAGATGAAATTAGTGACAGTAGAAGGCATACAAAGGAATTTATCCAGAACACAGAGCAGAGATGAAAACTGCTCTGAGAGCAAATACAGATCACACAAAGAATTGAGTGAAAAGTAAGAAATAACCAAAACAGACACTATTCAAGAACACTGGGTATAAAGAAAAACAGGAAAAGTAGGTACTGTCTAGTAGAAGGACTATTTTTGAAATGGGAGATGTAACTTAGTAAATTACAGGCAGAAAGTTAATAAATTTAATACAAGCAAGAAGGAGATGAGCCAGGGGAAAGGATCGAGACGAGCATGAAGGGGTAGACATGTTGGGATGTGTATCCTTGAGATTGGAAGGCAAGGTGGGTCTAGATGTGGATGAGTTGAGAGAGAGGTGAGCCTGAAGTTTGGGGAGTTGCCAGTGTTCTATTTCATCCATGAAGCGGGAAGTGATAAACTTGAGAATAAGAAATGGACAATGTTGATGGTAAGATAATTTATTCATTCAGTCACTCATTATAACACACTTACAGTATGACATAGCAGTGAACTGAGTGAGGCTCCATGGGATTTAGGCACTCCAGAGTTGCTAGAGCATGCCAAAGCTTTAAAGAGGAGCGGGAAAGGGGAACAGAGACTGTGCAATAATAGCATTTTCTCAAGCTGCCTCCCTGTATTGTGCAGGCTACTTTGACATTGCTGACTAGTAGGATGACTAGAAAGAATAGCAGTGTAGATCAGTCTGAGGTTGAGTGACACAGGGTGGGTGAAATTTAGGGTAAATCCTACTGAGAATTAATGGAATCCTACATTCTTCTACCAGCCAGTGGGATGAGTCATGCTCCTCTTTCTCATGGAGTATTTTTTTCTTCTCCAGTGATTTGATTCTGTGAAATCTGTAGAGATGTTTTAGCTGAAGTTCTCTTTTCTCAAAGACTTGTTCGTTCATTCATTCAAGAAATTTATCAAACATCTACTGTATCCTGGGCATCCATCTGGCTGTTTGGAAAATATCAGTGAACTGCACAGCAAATGTCCCACCCTTATGAAGCTCACCTTGTAGTGGAGGGGAGAGAGGCAATGAGCAGTGAACACATAATGAAGAGTGCATCATACAAACTGTTAAGAGCAGAGAGTGCCATATAAAGGGAAATTAAAGCAGGGCAAGTGGGTCTGGGATCACAGAGTAACAGCCTGCAGTGTTTGGTAGGTTGGCAAGGGTAGGTTTCCATTGGAGGGCAGTGTCTGAGGTGAGCAGAAGCAGCCAGAAGCAACCGAAGGGCAATGCGGTTCTCTGGGAAAAGAGTGGTATGTACAGCAGTCTCTGCGGTGACAGAGCCTGTGTGTTGGGGGAACAGCCAGGAGGCCTGAGTGGCTAAGAAGAGGAACAAAGGAGAAAATTGGGAAGGGTGTCAAAGAGATTGCCTGGCAGGCAGGCTTAGAACTTTCTGGAACACCCTGTCCTCTTTTACGTTGGGTTTGGCAAGGGCAATGTGGCAGGCATGTGGAAGCCAGCCATAGGTGGAGGGAAGTTGTGTGGGACTCAGTGAAAGAATCTAGCGCAGCCCCTGCAGACTTATGGGCCCAAGTGATTGCTCTTTCCTCGCCAAGCCACCACTTCTCGTTCCAAGGCTGGGGGGCTGGGGTGAAGGAGAGTTCAGACAGCTGGGGAGAGGCAGACAAATGGCCCCAGGAGCACTGTCCAAGTCACGGGTTACCTCGGGCTGATTAAGTGACTCCAGTGGCTTCATCGATCTGCACAGTTACTTAACTTGGTCTTTTGAAATGTGGGCCTACATTGAGTGACGATTTAAACCCACCCCGAACCCTGAATACTTTTAAAACCATAAATCAGTCTTTATATATTTTACCTCCTATAAACAAAGAACATGGTGAGAGTCCTTGAGTCCCGGAGAATCCAGGATCACATAATTAGATCTCACCCACTCTTCCCACACAGCGCTGTCAGAATGAAGAGAGGCCTGGCTCACAAGTGGAGGGCTGTCGTTTTCGAGCCGAGTTATTTCACATGCCAGGGAAGCACTGTTAGGATTTATGAGTAGATTATCTATTCAAGGCATATTTGGGGGCTAAGAATATTGTTTTATCGCATGTGTTTTTTCATGTTGCTAAAGCCATGAATGACGAATTCTGGTGGTGGAAAATAAGGACAGTATGATGTGTAATTGTTCTCTGGGCAACAGTGCAAAAATGACTGAATCTGAGTTGCCCAATGTTGCACAGGACCCATGGTAAGAAGTGGTGTTGGCTGCCACAATCCGTGTCTCCCTTTGGGTCACCAGTCCAGGGCACAAGTCACCATTGTTCTGGTGTGGCTCATTCCGTCCCCCTGTAGGTTTCTTCCGTAATTAGCAAGGAGACAGTTCTTCAAAATCACTAGCACAAACTGCAGCAGGATTAATTTTAATTTGGTGTTGTGTTTAGAAGGAAGTTTATGTTTTCAAATGACAGGGTCTTATAAATGTTATACCTTTAGACCCCTAACATCCTTAGGAGGCATTTTCGCTGGCAATAGGAGGCAGATTCGTCATTGGTGGTTCCTCCTCTGTGAATCTAGAGATGGTTGCTTCCATGTGTACCAAGATTGGGAAGACCACAGGGGGAGGGTGATGGTTTGTCCCAAGGCTGCAGCTGTCTTCCTGACATGCCCATCACCAGCTAAAGCTGCCTCACACTCTTGGCCCTAGTTCAACCAAGTCAAGTACCAAGTGTACACAAAGGACTGGGTTAAGTTCTGGGATTGAGACGAACCAGAATTGTGCTGTTGGCAATGATCACCTTACATGCAGTGGTGTCTATGAGTTCTGGGGCATCTTGGGGCTTCTTCAGAATTCTGTCACAGGCTTTACTTTCATGAACGTTCTAACAAGGGCATTTTTAAAAAGTCTTCTTAGCGTATTAGTTCATCTCAGCAGAGAAAAACAGAAGGCTTCACAGAGACTGGGAGCATGCCCATGTTTGTGGCAACCTTGGAAAATATGTTCCCACTCTTCCTGAGGGTGGGCTGTTTTGTGCCATGGCAGAGCTTTGGGAAGATGGGATGTGTTTTCCCCATTGTTCAGCCTCAGTCTCTCTACCATGGTGCATGGCCAGGTCTGGACAGACCACAGAGAGGTGGTAAGCCCTGGGAGGACGAGCCCGAGGAAAAAGTCCACTGTGATTGCATTGCAGATGCAAACTAACCTTCCAACCCCACTCTCTCTCCAACCCTGTGCTCCAGCTGCCCACACCTCAGCCCAGGCTCAGGACCGACCAACAGCCACCGTGTCGCCCCTGCGCACCCAGAACTCCCCGTCCCGCCTGCCCACCGCCAGCCTCAGGCCCCACTCCGTGGTGTCCCCACAGCACATCCACCAGCCCCAGGTGCAGACGGTCATCGGGGCCCAGTGCCCCCGGCCGGCCATCCCACTCACGTCCGCAGCGTCAGCCGTCACACCTCCCAATGTCAATGCTGCCAACCTCAATGGGGAGGCTGGAGGGGGGCCCATCAGTGGCCTGTCAACGTCCAGCCCCACCAACACAGGATGCAGACCAGATGAGAAAAAAAATGAAAAGGTAAGTGACCCGTCTTGGGCGAGCCCTGGCCGTGGCCCAGTTGGTTATTTTAACAGTTTGGCACCAGACACCAATGACATTTTGTAAAATGAAGGCTTGAATTAGGGCACTAGGCTCCTGCCCTCAGATGCAACAGGCCTATGACAGAGATGGAGGCCAAACGAGCAAAGCACCGGTCCTTGGAGGCAGGCCTCAGGTTCTGGTACGGCTGAGACAGGCCCAACTATAGAAAAAAGGTATCACTACCTCAAGATGCCTTAGCTCTACCTGTTGGAAAATCACTGTAATATATTCATTTTGTTAGAACAAGAGATTTATTGCCAAGTACCAGGATATTATAGTATTAAATACACAAATCTACTTATGTGCAGTGTGAACAGCACCCCTTCCCTTCAATGTATCATCCCTGTGCAATCCACAGCCTATTCAACCACAAGGGGAAGACTTGTTTTCTGAGGAGAAACAAGAGGGATATGCTGGTCTGACCATTGGTGTAGACAGTATTTTCAGCTATTCTTTTTAAAAAAAATTTTTTTAATGTTTATTTATTTTTGAGAGAGAGAGACAGACAGACAGAGAGTGAGCAGGTGAGGGGCAGAGAGCGAGGGAGACAGAATGAAAAGCAGGCTCCAGGCTCTGAGCTATCACCACAGAGCCTGATGTGGGGCTTGCACACATGAACCACAAGATCATGACCTGAACTGAAGTTGGACACCCAACCAACTGAACCATCTAGATGCCCCTCAGCTATTCTTTTAACTGTGAAGAAAATTGGGCTTATTTCACAAAAGAAATCAGAGTCCAATGAGCTTGCCTCTCTTGCTACCCAACTAGACACTGGACTAAACAAGATTAGAATCCAGATTTCGTTGTTTTTTTTTTTTTTTTTCTCAAATCAGTGCTGCCCAACAAAACTATAGACCGAGTCACATATCTAATTTAAAATCTTGTAGTAGTCACATTTTTAATAAGTTAAAATAATTTTAAAAATAAAATTGAAAGGCAAAAGTCATTATAATGGTATAATCTATTAAACCCAATATCCAAAAATATTGTCATTTCAACATGTAATTGATACTAACAAATTGTTGATAAAGTATTTTGCCATTTTTCACATTCAGTCTTTGAAATCCAGCGAGATATATCCAATGTTCATGGGCCACTGCACTGTGCATTGCTGTATTAAATAGTTCAGACCCCATCTTCAGCTGGGAACTATTCTCTTCATTGGCCTAGCTGTAGGAATGATTTGTTCTCATCCCCTCTTGGCTTTACCACATTCTATATTTCTTTTAAAACCTTTCTAGATAAAACTTGTCTTTTGATTAGAGTGTGCTAGCCAGGGTTTTGGTGAGCCCCACAGCACTAGATGGTATATTCAAGGCAAGGACAGCCCCTCCTGTCCCTTAGGGACAGTACCAAAACCAGCATTGACTGCCCAGTCCACGTGCCCAGTGTGCCCTGAAGGCAGGCCCACAAGCTCACCTCTCGTGCTTGGCAGGAGCCCAGACACCTCTCAGATATGTGCACACCAGACTCCTCAGGGCCACCAGATCAGTGCTTAGGCCTCCTCACCGCTTGTCTCATCTGCTCCAGAGGAATGTTATTCCCACACTCAGAGGTATGGAAGAGTCTCAGTGACAGCCATTGCTGCGATGCTCTCAGCCAGCAGAGCTCAAGTTCCCTTGAGATTAACAGGGTTCCCAGGCATGAAGAGAAATGGTTGCTCCGCATTTTGAGTCCATGTCTGTTTGCAGTTCTCTTAGGTCTTGGCCTGTTCCCTTCACCTTGCAGTCTGGTTAGGAGATGTAGCTGGGTCTCATCAGGAGGCAGAAGTGGGCATACAAGCCCACCTTCTTACTTGGACGCTCTTCCTGGAAGACTCAATCCTCCAGGCCTTAAACAGGGGATGGACTTGGAAAGGAAAGGATAATAATAGCTCTGTAAACATTTCTGGTTCTTTAACAAAAGATTCTGTCTGGTTTGCAAAAGAGATGGGGCTAACTTCAGTATGGCTCGTGACAGCAGAGCCAAGCTAGTAGGAATCTACACTGAGGGAGATACTGTTCATGATCTTGCCCTCCTAAGCATGTTGCTAGGGAAAACCAGCACTGCGCCTACTCTCCACATTCCCAGCCTGTTAGACATTTAGCAGGTATTTTATTTTACTCTCTGATAATAATTCTCCTCTATCAGCAAAGAAGAGTGAGTCCAGGAGACACCCAGAGGGTCCCTCTTGATGAAAGGCACCTTGGAAGGAACCCCCACTCCCAGAAGGAATGTAGCAGATATGTCCACTTAGCTCTGGCGGCAGAAATGCATGGGCAGACACCAGCCTGTACCCAGCTAAGCTCAGGGCTGGGCACAGACTACTCACAGCCTAGGTGGGGGGCTGTTCATGCTGTACTCTCAAGTAGGAAGTGAAATGGACTTTGTGGGCTTAAGTGAGCATGTATTTGTAGGTATAGGAGCAATTGTTAGCATCAAACCCTGATATAGAAACACCGTATATTGTTCTTCCACATGTTATGTGTGGTTTTCATTTCTCACCTCTCAAACAAAGCAAAACAAAACAGAACAAAAAAAAAATGAAACAAAACAAAAAACCCCACTGGTTTGAAAAACCACCTGTTATGGTTTTCCCTTCTGTATTCCCACTTGAATTTCTCCTACTTTAAATTTTTTTAATGTTTATTTATTTTAGAGAGAGAGAGAGAGAGAGAGAGAGGAGAGAGACAGCACAAGTGGGGGAGGGGTAGAAAGAGAGGGAGACACAGAATCTTAAGCAGGCTCCAGGCTCTGAGCTGTCAGCACAGAGCCCAATGTGGGGCTCAAACCCATGAACCATGAGATCATAATCTGAGCCAAAGTCAGACACTTAACCGACTGAGGCCCCTAGGTGCCCCAAGTTTCTCCTATTATAGTAAAGTGCAAAACATCCACAGTTGCAGTTTCTAGTGGAAGAGCCAAGACAGTGACTGTTCACGTGAACCTGTCTGCTGTGCTCCACGCTGGTCAAGTGTGCCCGGACTAGGGCCTGGGCACCCTCGTGCTGCCTCCCCCTACCCCTGCCAGGACCACAACTGAGCAGATGTGACCAACTTTGAAAACAACACTTGGCTTCAAGTCTGTTTCTGGGGTAACCCCATCACAGACATATGTGCATGTCTAATAATGGTGAAAGGAATTTTTAAGAGTAATTTGGAGTATTCTCCAGGTTGTTTCTCTTAGTGAATTTTCCTCTGAAAAAGATGGAGCTCCCAGCCCTGCTGTCCACAGAGACCAAACATCACGGCACCTGCATGTTCTCACAGTGCTGAGCTCTTCTGGAATTCGATCCAGGCCCTTCCAAGCATGTGCACAAGAGAGAACACCATGTCTTATAGGGCTCCTGGTGCCTGAGGTAGAGGCAGGGTGATTCTCTCTTAGGACATTGGGGGATTTATTCCCAGGTGTGGTATATGTCCCCATGTGTGGTATATGAAGAGGCCCCAAACCTGGCTTGTGTGCACTGACTGCTGTGCAGAGATTCCTGGGCGGCTGGCACTCTGCTAATTTCACCCTCTGGGATTGGGCTTCTCAGCCCTGCTGTAGACAGGCCTTGTACATTGGCCCTGCTTGGCCCACTGCTGGGTTGAGGCCTCCAGAAAGACTCAAGTGCTGCCAGGGTGGGGATTCTTTCTATAGATTGGATCCTGATTCAGAGTTCCTCTCTGGGCTCAGGGCTTTTGCCACAGTGTGCATCTTCCAGCTTCTCTCTCAGAGCCTCTTCCTGACCATCTTCCTGGTCTTATGGCTTCCTGAAGGAGCTGTTCTGTGGCTGGGCTGCCAGCAAACAGCAGCTCCACCCTCTTGGAGAGCTTGCCACTTCCTCCATTGGGGCCCAGTCTAGCAGTGTGCCCTTGTGCCACAGCCCTGGAGCCCACAGTGCCAATGCCTGGAGTGCTCCCTGCACTAGTACCAGAGGATAGACAGAGGACAGGCCAGAGATGGGGGAGTTCTGAACCAAGGATTCATTCAGAGATCTGGACAGCACTAGGGACTCTTCAAGCACCTGAGGCCATTTGGTCTGACCAGGGATCTGTTCTCCCATGGGACAGATCTACCAGGGATGGCCCTGCATGGAAGAGCACCCTCCTCCAAGAAGACCTGGGAAGGATGTATACTGTGAAGTCACAGGGTACCCCAGGCTGGTTGGATCCCTTCCTAGATCCCAGGTTGGAAACAGTAGAGGCACCCAGGCCAAGGGGAAAACCTTAGGACACAGAGAAGACCCCAAGGCATGAGAAAGACCCTAGCATATGGAAATCATGAAGGTTACGATTAGCTGGTGAATGTCATTGGAAGTCTCCCCATCCAAAGACTGAGATCTAGTATTTCTGAAGAAGGGACCAGATACAACTTGAGGAGTCATTTTTTGGTGCCCACAGATCATAGGGTGGAAAGAAAATCTCGGGAAAATTTTAAGAATGATGTGTAATATTTCAGTTAACCCTTTTGCTTTAAAAAATCCCTTTTTGTGCCAGAAACAACCATCAAATATCACCTGTCGTGTCCATCCATGACTATTTTCTATTTCTAGGGCCTCATGAACACTCAGCACCAGATGATAGGGATCAGTTATCCCTAGAGGTTGATTCTAGGGAAAGGCATCAGAAAGAGAGCTCTGTGCCCCCAGACAGAGGCCCCAGTCAGTGACTAGCAGCAGTGACGTGCTGAGGAAAGAAGTGGAAGAGGCCCCAGTCAGTGACTAGCAGCAGTGACGTGCTGAGGAAAGAAGTGGAAGATTGTGGCCCCCCTTGAACCCATGAAGCTTTCCCTGGCCACCTGGCTAGAGGTCACTCACTCACCCCTCTCTCATCTGTGTATTACAAGGAACATTTATGTGGCCCAGGCAAAGTGCTGAGTTCTGGGTGTCTATAGCAAGGGAAGATTCCATCCCAGCCTGTAGGAATGCTGAGTCTAGTACCAAGATGCAGACTGGGAAACAGGCAACTGAA